ATTTTGTACCAATCCAATATTGAATAATAACATATCCCGACAACAGAATATTACATGCTACTATTTTGTACCAATCCTATATCGAATAATAACATATCCCGACAACAGAATATTACATGCCACTATTTTTGTACCAATCCAATATTGAATAATAACATATCCCGACAACAGAATATTACATGCTACTATTTTGTACCAATCCTATATCGAATAATAACATATCCCGACAACAGAATATTCAATGCTACTATTTTGTACCAATCATATATCGAATAATAACATATCCCGACAAAAGAATATTACATGCTACTATTTTTGTACCAATCCTATATCGAATTATAACATATCCCGACAACAGAATATTACATGCTACTATTTTTGTACCAATCCTATATTGAATAATAACATATCCCGACAACAGAATATTACATGCTACTATTTTTGTACCAATCCTATATCGAATAATAACATATCCCGACAACAGAATATTCAATGCTACTATTTTGTACCAATCATATATCGAATAATAACATATCCCGACAACAGAATATTACATGCTACTATTTTTGTACCAATCCTATATTGAATAATAACATATCCCGACAACAGAATATTACATGCTACTATTTTTGTACCAATCCAATATCGAATAATAACATATCCCAACAACAGAATATTACATGCTACTATTTTTGTGCCAATCCAATATTGAATAATAACATATCCCGACAAAAGAATATTACATGCTACTATTTTTGTACCAATCCTATATCGAATAATAACAGTCCTCGACAACAAAATTATATGTGCCACTATTTTGCTACCATCCCTATAGTGAAGTATAACAGTCCCCGACAACAGAATATTCAATGCTACTATTTTGTACCAATCATATATCGAATAATAACATATCCCGACAACAGAATATTACATGCTACTATTTTTGTACCAATCCTATATTGAATAATAACATATCCCGACAACAGAATATTACATGCTACTATTTTTGTACCAATCCAATATCGAATAATAACATATCCCAACAACAGAATATTACATGCTACTATTTTTGTGCCAATCCAATATTGAATAATAACATATCCCGACAAAAGAATATTACATGCTACTATTTTTGTACCAATCCTATATCGAATAATAACAGTCCTCGACAACAAAATTATATGTGCCACTATTTTGCTACCATCCCTATAGTGAAGTATAACAGTCCCCGACAACTAAACTATATGTGCTACTATTTTGGTACCATCCCTATAGTGAAGTATAGCAGTTCCTGCCAACTAAATTATATGTGCTACTATTTTGGTACCATCCCTATAGTGAAGTATAGCAGTTCCCGACAACTAAACTATATGTACCACTATTTTGGTACCATCCCTATAGTGAAGTATAACAGTTCCTGCCAACTAAATTATATGTGCTACTATTTTGGTACCATCTCTATAGTGAAGTATAGCATTTCCCGACAACTAAACTATATGTACCACTATTTTGGTACCATCCCTATAGTGAAGTATAACAGTTCCTGCCAACTAAATTATATGTGCTACTATTTTGGTACCATCTCTATAGTGTAGTATAGCAGTTCCTGCCAACTAAATTATATGTGCTACTATTTTGGTACCATTCCTATAGTGAAGTATAGCAGTTCCCGACAACTAAATTATATGTGCTACTATTTTGGTACCATAGCTATAGTGAAGTATAACAGTCCCCGACAACAAAATTATATATGCCACTATTTTGGTACCATCTCTATAGTGAAGTATAACAGCCCCCGATAACTAAATTATATGTGCCACTATATTTTGGTACCATTCCTATAGTGAAGTACAACAGTCCCTGACAACTAAATTATATATGCCACTATTTTGGTACCATCTCTATAGTGAAGTATAACAGCCCCCGATAACTAAATTATATGTGCCACTATATTTTGGTACCATTCCTATAGTGAAGTACAACAGTCCCCGACAACTAAATTATATGTGCTACTATTTTGGTACCATCCCTATAGTGAAGTATAGCAGTTCCCGACAACTAAATTATATGTGCTACTATTTTGGTACCATCTCTATAGTGAAGTGTAGCAGTTCCTGCCAACTAAATTATACGTGCCACTATTTTGGTACCATCCCTATAGTGAAGTATAGCAGTTCCCGACAACTAAATTATATGTGCTACTATTTTGGTACCATAGCTATAGTGAAGTATAACAGCTCAAACCAACTAAATTATATGTGCTACTATTTTGGTGCCATTGCTATTGTGAAGTATAACAGCTCAAACCAACTAAATTATATGTGCTATTATTTTGGTACCATTGCTATAGAGAAGTATAACAGTCCCCGACAACAAAATTATATGTGCCGCTATTTTGGTACCATCTCTATAGTGAAGTATAACAGTCCCCGACAACAAAATTCTATGTGCCACTATTTTGGTACCATCCCTATTGTGAAGTATAACAGTTCCCGACAACTAAATTATATGTGCCACTATTTTGGTACTATCCCTATTGTGAAGTATAGCAGTTCCCTGCAACCACATTATATTTGCCACTATTTTGGTACCATCCCTATAGTGAAATATAACAGTCCCCGACAACAAAATTATATGTGCCACTATTTTGGTACCATCCCTATTGTGAAGTATAGCACTTCCCTGCAACTAAATTATATGTGCCACTATTTTGGTACCATCCCTATAGTAAAGTATAGCATTTCCCTGCAACTAAATTATATGTGCTACTATTTTGGTACCATCCCTATAGTGAAGTATAATTTGTGTGCAATTTTACTGTTAAAGAATTTTTGTCATCAAATCTATTTTCAAGAAACATTTAATTTGGAACACACCTTCAATTTATTTTATTTTCATGCTAAACGTTGATACTTTTACAATCCACCCAAACAAGTAATTTTGGTTTCTAGTGGCGGTCTTTATTGTCGAAGTAGTTATTGTCCGCTTGCTCATTAGTAGTATTCAATAGGCTTTACTGCCACCTCCTAGGCCGCTCATTATTGACACGGTACCAAAATAGTGGCAAATACCAAAAACAGACGTCACCAGTCACACTACGGCTAAAATAGTTAGAGGGCATTGCGCTGAAATCTCCATAGATATGCGACGGTTCAGATGTATGTAATAAATACAATAATACAAAATAAGATGAATGTAATAATAATAAACATAATAATAATAACAAATTACAAAATTATTAAAATTAAAGGGCGGTTGTCGTCGCGCCACGCATGCGCGAGATATATGGTTCTCATATAAACAAAGATGGCAATCGTTGACTGTTGCTCAGATCAACGAGTACAAACTGAGACGTTACCAAGCTTTAATTAGGTATTTTTTCAGTGATTGGAAGGTATCGAAGGAGTCATCGGCGGTAATTAGTGCAAGTCGCGCCCAGGTCAAACCTCATACTTGTGATTTCCAGTGGTAGAGCGCATTGGATTGTGGAAAATCAATGTTTATCAACACAAATGTCGCACTTGCGCAGCGCGACGACCATCGCCCTTTAAGAAAATACACGCAGAACATAAGATTTTAATCAGGTTGGTTTCGTCATATCTAGAGATCATTTTTCAAATATTGCGCACAAGCCACGAATTAACACCAAAAATAATTTGTTTCCAATGCATCCCCAAACCAGCAAATATATAGATAGCTCATAAAATAACCATATTCCTCTTTCTGTGAGAATACACTGGGTAAGATAATTTATGCAAATAAGCAGACGCTCTAAATGTCTTGAGTACGCGGACATGGTAATGATTCCTGTATAAGTTGTCTGTGCTTAAATATTGCGAGGCATATATATGAAATAAACATGATATAAAATGCGTAATTTTGTAATTTATTTAACTTGTGAAGTTGAAGTTTGTTTGTCAGAAAGGTTTGGAACAAATGATGGTACCTGTGATCACCGAGTATTCGTAACCAGACAATACGTGCTGTGGAACATTTATTTGTACGACAAACATTTTTCTTCCTATATTTCCCTTGTTATAGCTGATTTCCACGTTGATTTGTATGTATACAAAGAAGAGCAAATTGAAAATATATTATTGTAAACCAAGATGTCATATCGCCAAATTAATATACGAGAAATGGGTCCGAATGAATTAAGTTGTTACTGTACTAATGATACAATGTAATAATTGTCGTCCAAGATTTGTTAAGATATTTGTGGAAGTTTATTTAGATTATTTAATTAGAAATAGACAATAAGTTGGATTATTTTGGGCGCTCCGAGGAACCGTGTCACAGTCTAACTACTGCAGCAATGTTCCTTTGTGACGTCAGAAGGGACATTCTCGTACGCAGATAAGAGCTAAGGACTAGGCTTTTTGTAAATTGCTGTGAATGACTGATAGTTGACAGAAAATTTGAAAATATTTTTTTAATTAAAATATTCATTTTTGACCCACATATTTTAATTATGACAAAATTCACATATCCATAAGTGATTTTGAACATCAGAGTAACAAACGTTTTACTGATATTTTTCATTCCGCACATCTCTAACTCTAACCACTACAAACCCAATGACAACGACGGAAACCATCACCCAGTGGCGTCGATACGGATGGGGGGCGGTTGAGGGTTCGGTCGCCCCTTGACAAATTTTGGGGGCGTCGCCACTTCAAAATCAAGCTGAAACCATTTGTGTCAGCACAAATTGCCTCTGAGAAAGCAAAAAATATTGTTCCAGAGGGTCTGGATTTCAAACTTTTGAGGGAAACATGCCCCCGGATCCTCTGGGAAGGTAGCCCCCTCCCATGCAAAATTGTGGGCCGCCGCCTCTGCCACTACCACCAATAACAGCACAACAACAACAAAAAGGACAAAACAGCAAATGCGACGCAACAAGACTAAGTTTACTTTATTTTGTGGAATCTTTATATATATAAGTTTGTCTACTCAATCGAATGGCTAACTTTAATTGATTTAATATGTTTTGCTGTTACTCAAATTATAGATAGTACAACTATCATTACAGTAGTGAAAAACACATATGTTGATGATTTGAACTGGCCCGACGAATTCATATCTGATTCGTGGAGCTCATGATCAGTAGGTTCACTATGATTTATACCATCTCCGTTAGGTTCTGCTTCTTGACCAATCCTATCAGTACCATGGTTTCCTGTAGCTGTTCCATGTGATGATTCAATGTAGGTGACTTGCATCATGCCGAGATCTTCATGACGCAAATAATGACAATGAAGAACAACCACTCCAGGAAAAGTATCAGTTCGAAAGCGAATCGTGGTAACGTCTCTCGCAGCTAACGTGTCTCTCCACTCACCAATTTCGAATACAATCTGATTCGGGTCATCCTGGTAGGTTGTTGAGATGACCTGGAAGTGATTCACGTGTAGATGAAAAGGATGACTTTCCGGTCCCGTGTCTTTAATTATCCATTCCTCTATGGTGTCCAGCGTCATAATATGGTCATACACGTCAGGACCACGGAATAGCATTCCATTTATGCCAAAGTTACAAGTTTCAGGTCCTCGAAGCTGTCCAAAGTCAACCCGATATTGACCAGCAATGTCCTGTCGAGAAACGTTCTGTAAATCAGACAGGTATGATGGCAGCGGTGGGAGTTGTGACGGTAAAGGCATTGTGAGCTCATCACCTGATACTTCAATTGTTAGAATCGGGTCTTGAAAGTAACGTAACACATTGCTGCTTACAATATTGTCTCTGGATGGGTCTATCGTTGACTTCAAATTAAATGTACCCGTTCGTGGACAGTCAACGATGATGTCTGCCCGACTCGCCTGGATGAGCACAATTACGTCAACAGCATCCGTTGGTTCTGATCGGTAAACTCCATCGCGTGATATACGGTAAATGTTACATCCTGGTATTTCGATCTCTAATGTGTGAGTACCAGCAGCATGCAAGAGACGAAACACTTTCTTTTCGCCTGGTCGCATCTGTATTCTGGGCTGATATTGACCATTGACAACGTAAAAGTCAGCCAGCGACGTATTCGCCAATGATGGGTTGACATCGAGGGTATCCCCAATTTCATCCGATATTTCCAAGTAAGAGTAAGGTCGAAATGCATTGACGAAGTTTTCAGAATTTGGACACCCATTTCCAGGATCGCTGTCAAACTTCATATGTTGAAGAATCATTAAAATTTCGTCCATATTTGAAAGTTCTGGTGGTATGATAGAGTCATCAACGGGGTCAACGATTATTGCACCAGCCAATCCACCAATAACTTGAAAGGCTGTCGCACCATGGTGATGGGCGTGGTACCAGTGCATTCCTGGTGCGTGGTTATCTGGCAGGACATATGTGTAGACGTGTTGCTCTTCAGATGTACTTCTATAAGACATCATCTTCGTACGGATCACGTGAAGTCCATGA